CCAATGATATCATTAGAAATTATATTATTTTTTTATTGATAAAATTTTATCAATTTATCTAAAGTAAAATTATTTATTTTTATGATAAATCGTATTTAAGCGATTAAGATGGTGTTTGGTGTATAGACTTTTTTTCCAGCGTTGGGAATTATATTTTTGAGAATCGTGTTTCTTTAGAATTTTATTTGTTGAAAGTATTAAAAACACGTTTGGTGTATTTTAAACATTTTTAAAAATATTTACAATATTTTCTCAAAATATTTCGATATTGTGCTAGTTTAAATGTTATTTTCATGACTATTAATACTTTTTTTTTAAAAAATTTAAATGTTGTTTTACCCCTTATGATAATTGATAAATTTTTATTTTTACTCTTAGTTAAACAGCATCTTGCTGAAGGCAGGAGTTTTGATGAATCCATTCATTCAGTGCAAATCGCAAAAATTGAATAAAAAGTTAAAAATTAAACAAATTAAAAAATGCAAAAAAAAAAAATTGTTGGACTGGATTTCAGATTTTATTTTAAAAATCAATCAAATCCAAGTCCAACCACATTTACCTGTATACATATAATTTTATTTATAAAATTAACATTACGTTCATACTTTTTAAATTATATATTAATAAAATAAAAATATTTAACTATTTTTCACAATTTTTTATTTATATCATATGATTATTTTTAAGAATATATTTTATTATTTTCATTATTATATAAGTATATCTTTAGAATTTTTTTATAAGATTGGAACCAAAAGAGGAAAAAACACAGAATGCACATCTGCTCTAATAATTTTGGAAACTTTATAATGAATCACTTTCCCTAAGAGGTCTACACTCTATTTACTTAAAAAAATATATGGATTAAGTAAAATTAATATTCTTCTAAGAAGAATGTCAATAACACAATCTTTAACATATTTTTTATTGTCAGTTAAAATTTATTAAAAATTATAAAAAAAATTATGAGTCTCACTCTTTCCTACTTATAAATTAATATTTTTCTTTTACTTTATAGTTTTTAATAAATTTTAGTTAATAATAAAAATATATATTGTAGAGAATATGCTAAAAAGTATATTATTAGCATTCTTCTTCTTATTAAGCATACTTCTAATTATGCTAATCAAATTGAAACATTGATGAGATGATGGACAAAACTTATTAATTAAAGAGAAAGTTGCTATAAAATTCTTTTCTACAATCTAAAAGGGAGATAAAAATTTAAAGATAAATTAACTTTGTATTTTAAATAAAGAGCTTAGGCTAAAAGAGAATTTTTATCATTTATAAGGGACAAGTTCATGTAAGTTTTGTTTAATATATGTAATTCTTTAAAACTTAAACTCTCCTCGAGTTTAGGATTGAAAATTGGAGACCAAAAAATAAGATGAATTTTTCTTTTATGAAAAGATGAATCTTAAAAAAATTTCTACAAATTTTGTCTATTTCAAAAGACACAAAATAACATTGAATTGTATTAAATAAGGAGGAATATAATACAACTAAGATTAAGTCTTAAATTATATTATTCTGAAATTTTAGAGGAAAAAACTATTTTGTTAGCTGATTGGTATTTGAACTCACAAAATTACATTCGACTTAATTTTGTATAAGTATGTTTTTACTTTTTATTTTTCTTATTAAATATTAGATTTTTTTCTTTATATATATAGATTTTGAGTTCTCCTTAAACTTTCTCTAATAATATATGTTTTACTTATAAAAAAAATACAACCAAGATTAAGTTAGGACTATTTTACCAATAAAAGAAATATTATTATTTTTCTATAAATTTAATCTTTTTAAATTTATCAATTAAAAATTAATAATCATGTTTAGTAGCTCTTTTAAGATCAGAAACACCTAAATAATGTTTAAATTTCTGAATTATAGAAAAACCAAAACTAGAAGTTTAAGAATATGTTTGTTTTGATTTAAAAAAAAATATATATATATATATATATATATATATATATTTTTAAAAAAGAGAAAGCTTTTTTAAAAAAAAAAAAAAAAAACCAAGACCTAAGATTTTGAAATGCTTTTAGTCTCCTCAAAACTTTGACTAAATTTTTGCACAATATAATTAGTCACTAAGATTGTTAATAGGGACTTTACTAACCAAAAATAATGTTATCAGCAAAAAGAAAATTTATGATTTTAAGACTATTGAATTATACTAAAATAGAAATCACAAACCATTATTAAAAGTTAACAACATCTTTGATCAAATGATTTAATCTTTTCATACAAAGAATAAATAAGAAAGGAAAATAAACAATTTTTTTTAATTTAGTCTGATTTAATGTAAATAAATATCTATTATTATAATAAAGATATTTAATTTTTTATATATAAAATTTATGAAATTAAAAAATTCATGAAATGAATTTTTATTTTAATTTAATTTTAATTTAATAATATCTATGTTGTAAAAAAATGTCACTAGTATAAAATTTTAAATGTATATATTATAAATGAATTATATATTATAGATTATAAATTACAATTTTTAAAAAAATTATAATACATAATATTCACATTAATTATTTGTGTATGATATCTCAAAAAAATTATTCTATAATTATTTATAAAAAATTAAAATATAATTTTTCTAATATGTATCCAAAAATACGCATTAAAAATTAAAAGTAAAATTTTTATTACATATAAAAAAATTATTATCTTAAAATTATAAAAATTATTCAGTACATAACTTTTATGATAAAATAAAATATTTAATAAAGTGTATTTAATATTTTGTTTAGTATGTGCTATTAGACGCACATTAGAAAAATAACTTATAATAAAATATTTATGCATTACATAATTTACTAATTAGCAATAACTAATAACTTTTTAGTTTATGGTATGTATATAGTTGATTTTTTAAAAATTAATTAATTAAAATTATATTATATAGATATTTTAAATTTTAAAAAATGTGAATATTATAATTATTAATAAAAAATTTATTATATTAAATAATTTTAAATAAAAAATTAAATTAAAAATAAGTTATAAAAATTTTAAATCAAAACTCATGTTGAATAAAAAATAAGTTAAATTAATGTGTTAATGCTTGTACTATTTTAAAACTTTTCATTAGATCTTCGTAACTTAAAAATCTTTAATAGAGTTTTTAAAAGTTTTAATTTTTAAATTAATTTATTAATAATTAACATTGTTATATATTTATTAAATACCAACAACGTCACTTTTTATATAATTTGATATTCTATCTTTTTATACTTTTTATTTATTTTTAGTTATCTTTTATAAATATTTTACTCCAAGTCCTTGAATCTTACTATTATTAAGTGATGATAATTTTTACCTTAAATTATTGTTAGCATATATAGATTTTTTATGTTGATAAAGATAGATTGAAAGTAAAATTTCTTTTGATTTTTTAGTATTTTATTATAATAAAGTATTTATATAAAGTTGTTCTAAAAACTTTACCGTAAGAGAAGACTCCAAACCTAAAATTTTTAAAAAAAATAATTTTCAAGAATTTTTAAATTTTTAGGAGTGATTTGGAACATCTTCTCTCATTTTTAACATTTTTTAATTTAAAATACTGTAAATTAAATATATAAATATAATAAAAGATGATTGGGGCAATTTTATTGTTAATTTTCATGGAAGCATTATTTTTTCTTCTCTCTTAATTGTTGAACTCTAAGCCTTATTTTGGAGAATCAAATTAGTTATCTAAAAATAATTTTAATGTATTTGAAATGAAAGAGACTTTAAAAAAAAACTTTATCTTTTGTATTTAACTTTGTTTTCATCTATTTATTTTCTTGTTGTATGAAATTAGAATCTTATTGAAACAAATTAAATTTGTTAAATTTAGTCACAGAAAAACTAATTAATATGTTAATTAACTTATTAAGCTAGATATTGAAAGTGTGTTCCTTTATATCATTTGGATAACTCCTTTCTTTGTATTCTTTTTTATTTCTAGATCTTGTGATATTTGATCAACTAGATGTAAATTTTAGTATTTTTTTCTTTTTTAGGTTTTTAGCTCTTTTTCTTAGCGATATATATATTTGTTTGAAAAAAAGTCTCCAATTTAGTGTTGACTTTATGACAAAAAAATAATAAAATTAGGAATTTAGAAAAATTTATCTATAAAATAATTATAAAAAAGTATTAAAAAAATAGGTTGGTAAATAAAAAAAATGTCATGCAACTGATAGTTAAAATATATAATGATATTAATTATTAATGATTTAATTAAAAATTCTTAAACTTCAAGAACTTAAGTAAAAAATATAAAATAATTATAGAAATTAATGGATTGATTTAACTTAAAAAGTGAATACTTAGTATAAACAAAATAATTAATATAATAAAAGAAAGAAAGAACTCGCATTCATCCACGCATGACACATCGTATAATAATAACAGATGAATAAACCCAACATAAGCACATGGACCCATCGGGTGTCTGAAAGCCCGTTCAAGATATGCACAACACAAGCGTGCGGATGAGAACACCCCAATATCACACACAAAAAGCCACCGTTCATTTGTTGATATTGATAATAATAAAATAACGAAGAAAGGGACAAATGATAATCAACTTCAAAATTCACAAGGGTTCAGATTAATTTATCTTTATTTAGTGTCAACTTTTTTTAAAGAAAAATTCATTCCTTATAATCTGAATTTAATTAAGAACTAATAATATTTAAAATAAAACCAGATAAACGTGATTTATTGATATGATATATTAACATTATACATAATTGAATTGTAAAATTTAAAATGTGTAAAATTTAAATTAAATATTTTATATAACATATATTTACAAATAGATAATATTAATATTATACTATGTAAAATATTATATATTAATTGGATTGAAATAATTTAATATACAATTTTAAACTCCTTCCTAAAATACATTAAATTTATTTTTTAATATTTAAATCTATCAAAATTATCTATAAACTTGGGTTGGGTTAGTAAGATGGAACAGGTCATTAGCATATAACTTGATGCAATTCAAAGCAATGCTACTTAGCCAGAACTGAACTGAAAGCCCTGTATAGTGCAAAACTCTATTATCACTGGTAGCTTCAATATTAGAGAGAGAGAGAGAGAGAGTAGAATTGTTAGTGAGTGAGGAAATGGGTAAGGGGGGAATGTCAATTGATGATCATGGAGAAGGCAAGGAAGTTGTTGAACAAGAAGAGAATATGGCTGCTTGGCTTGTTGCTATGAACACTCTCAAGATTCAACCTTTCAGTCTTCCTACTCTTGGTATTCATTTTCCCTCTCTCTCTCTCTCCCAATTCTCAAGTACCTCCACTGTTTCATTTTTTTTTGTTTTTTCTCTTCCATAATTAACAATGTTTTGCACTGCCCACTCAGTTCACTTTCAAATCATTGGCTTACTTGATTGTGTAATTTGGAAGGGCCCCATGATGTCAGAGTTAGAATGAAGGCTGTTGGTATCTGCGGGAGTGATGTTCACTACCTCAAGGTAGATATTATTCTGTTGCATCTTATTTCAATAGAAGAAAATATAAATTAAAAAATATTAACTTTTTTTGTAGGGGTTTGATGATTTATATAAGCAACTAATTTGTTGCAAAATTTGTTAACCTGAATGAACAATCTATGATTGATCGTATGGATAAATATTTATTTCCCACTTTCTGGTTTGCCAAGATAATCTAAAATCTTCCTTTGGCTGGAAATTTTGATTGAAGGGTTTATTTCCTGCTTTATTCTATGTTTCTCTCCAGTAATAAGTTTTCAAATTTATATGTTCAGACACTGAGGTGTGCACACTTTGTTGTAAAAGAACCAATGGTTATTGGTCATGAGTGTGCTGGGATCATAGAAGAAGTTGGTAGCCAGGTAAGGACTTTGGTGCCTGGTGACCGAGTGGCGATTGAGCCTGGGATCAGTTGTTGGCGTTGCGACCACTGCAAACAAGGTCGATATAATTTATGCCCTGATATGAAGTTTTTTGCTACTCCACCAGTCCATGGTTCTCTGGCTAATCAGGTTTGAAAGATTTCACAGCTTTGTTAAATATTATTATTTCAGTCATGTGCAATAGGAAGTATAGCATTTCTAAAAACAGCATCAATTATCAAAACTACATTATCTGAAGAATCCTAACAAAACGCTTTACTGACAAATATTAAGTCTATTTTTAACTTTGGTTTTAGGCTTTTAGCTATTGTATTGGAATAGATAATGTTGTCTGTTGTACCGTATTTACTTAAATATCTGTCCAGACCACTTGTATAAGTTCACAAAAGCTTTTCATTTTAAAAGTGTGTAAATTAGAACTATTTAAGAATACATATTGAATGTTATATGTATACTTGGGTACATAGTATGTTATATCTATGAGATTGTGTTTTATATTGCCGCATTTTGAGACATATGGTTGTAGTAAGTATTATTTGTTTGATGGAATTTTTTAAGAATGAATAAACTGATGAAATGAAGCCAATGACCCACTGGTTTCATGTCAATAATTCTCATTTCAAGCCATTGATTGTATCAGATATTTAAAAGAGGAAAATAAATATAGAATTCCATTCATCTTAGTTCTTATTCTCATATTTTTATTCTATTTTTTAAAAGAAAGTCCATTTTCTTCAGATTTACTTTCACATTAGCTATATGGTAGCAGTGTGCACTTTGGGACACGATTCCACAACAGTGCTATATAAGCACACCAAAGGGTATGTTCTTGAAATCAAGCTGACCTATAAAACCCAATGGAAATGTTTCTGTGTAGACCAAGATGGCAAGATCTGCATATTTTATAGTTTTCTGGGATAAAATATACTGTCTGCAAGACATTTTCAAATGAATGATAGGTGTCAAAAAATTATAATTATTAAATGTAGTTATATTCAATCCAAAGTTAAAAGTCATACATATTGTCTAATTGCCATGATGTATACATAAGTATCGCCAGGTTCCCTGTTTTTGTGCCATAAGATGATTTTTACATCACATGTCCACAGAAACACTATATAACAAAGTAAATGGTTGTTTTACATAAATATTTATTTATTCAATTGCCTGCATCTTTGGACCATTAAAGATTACTTAAAAGGTTATGAATAAAATCCGCATGAATGTACTCAGCTTACAATGATGATATGCTGGCAAGTTGAGCACTCAAGTTTGATATTTAATGTTTAATATGATTTCTTTGCCATGAATCTGATTTTTTTCGTTGGAAAGTCTTTTATTCAATACTTTTTATTGCATTGATTCTTGGCCATGTGATTGCAGTAGAGCCTCTATTTTATATTCTTAAGTATGAGATAATGGTTGTCCCACAGTTTCACAAGTACATATAGTCATCTTGACTGGTAAAATACAATCATAATCATAATGTTAGGCATGATTACAATTAAAACCATGCTATATACCCATACTCAAATGTAATGAAATAGATTTGCTCCAATGAAAACCCATGTCTGAGTTCCATTTTTCTCTCTACAGATAGTGCATCCAGCAGACTTATGTTTTAAGCTGCCAGACAATGTGAGCCTGGAGGAAGGGGCAATGTGTGAACCCTTAAGTGTTGGCGTTCATGCTTGTAGGAGAGCTAATATTGGACCGGAGACAAATGTGTTGATCATGGGAGCAGGACCCATAGGACTTGTTACAATGCTTGCAGCTCGTGCTTTTGGGGCACCCAGGATAGTCATTGTGGATGTGGATGACCATCGTTTATCTGTGGCAAAAACTCTTGGTGCAGATGAAATTGTTAAAGTATCAACAAACATTCAGGTATACTGAATCCTTAGCTTCCCAAAATCTTCCATATTTTTTTCTAAATAAATTAACATGTCAGACAATCCCTTTCTGCAACACTACTTGTATCTGTTATTATAGTAATTTGCATGTATGTTCAGTGTCTGTTGATGCTGTGCCTATTCACAAACAAAAAAATTAGAACAAAGTAAACTTGTATTTTAACATAATGATATCAAAGTTAGGTGTGTGATAATCTTTCACTAGCTATCCATTGCTCTCTTCATTCTTCATTCCTATTTATTCAGGCGATGCCTAGTTGTTTACATTTCTTATGTTCTTTTCCTTGAAGGATCTACTGTTTCATTGCAACTTGTTACTTTCTTCCTTTACTAGTCATGTTTTAGCACTTAATTTCTGTAATATGTTTTTGAAAGAATACCACTCAAATATGTGTTTATGTGACAAATTTAAATAGTTACTGTGCATTTCTGGGTGCTTCTGTGAACACCACTTAAACCAAATTCTAAATACACTGTTTTGCAGGATGTGGCTGAAGAAGTTCTGCAGATACATAAGGCTATGGAAGCTGGTATAGATGTTACCTTTGATTGTGCTGGTTTTGACAAAACCATGTCTACAGCATTGAGTGCTACTCAGCCAGGTGGCAAAGTTTGCCTAGTGGGAATGGGCCATTCTGAAATGACTGTCCCACTCGCCCCAGCTGCAGCAAGGTATGTGATAACTTTATTAAAATAAATTATTTTTCTAACATATATTCAATGGCACACAATAAGAACCTTTATATAATAACTTTTTATTGAAAATTATAGCATTTAAGTTATGAATGCATTAGATTTTATGATATCTTTTGATTTCTAATAAAAATTTACTATATGAAAGTTCTTATTGTGTGCCCTTGGAGGCTTGGACGCATTAGAAAAACTGAAAAATAAATAAATAAAAACTTGTATATGTTAAAGATAATGAAATAGACACATCGTATATTCTTTCAAGTTCAACTGGCACTTTTAAGTCTAGAGTGATTTAAGAAAAATACACGTCATGAGTTATTTTTATTTTTTCATGCCTTGCTTTTTCTTCATTCTTGTAACATTTGATAATGATGGTTTATCATACATAACTCAGGGAAGTTGATGTGGTTGGAGTTTTCCGCTATAAAAACACGTGGCCTCTTTGCCTTGAGTTTCTAAGGAGTGGCAAAATTGATGTAAAACCCCTTATAACTCACAGGTTTGGATTCTCTCAGAAGGAAGTGGAAGAAGCCTTTGAAACAAGTGCCCGTGGTGGTAATGCCATTAAGGTCATGTTCAATCTTTAGATATTGGACTGTGAATTTACAAGCTGTCTTATTTTGAAAAAATATATTGTGTGCGCGCTTGCTCATATTAAATACTTTTGAATTTATAATTTGGGTTATGAATAAAGTGGTTTCAAGAAGAAATTTAACTTCATTCATGTTTCTTAAGGAATTATGAATATTGATGGCCAGAATAGTCATTTCTAGAACTGATGTGTTGGATGCTTAAGGACTAATGTGGCAAACATTTGTAGTTCTTTTGGGGCCTCGAGTGAACCAAACATTCTGAAGGACTAATGTGTTTATTTCTTAAATTCTTGATGACGAAGTGAAATTGTCTCTTCAGTGAACTAATAAAGGTGTATTTACCATTAGTATTATGATGAACATAAAAGAATTAACATACACTTTGATCTATGAAAGTGATAACTTGTGTTGTTTGAATGTTTTTGTCTATACAAATTAACCTTTTGAGGGATGAAATTGTTTGTCTTGGTTTGTCTATTAGTACAGATTTTTTAAGTACTTTTAGTTCTATTGTTTAATCAAAGTTGAAGTTTTATGCGATAACTTCAAATGAAAATTTTTTATCTAGGTAAGAACTTCATAAAAAAAAGGATAAAAATGCTAATTGAAAATAACGTCAAAATTACCTTAAAAATTAGACCTAATGACACAAATAAAAAAAATGGTACAGTTATATTTTGTGGGTTATTAAATGTTTATTAAATGTTAATTTCCCCTATAATATTTACGATTTTTTTGTTGTGCTCGCAAAGCACTTTTTTTTTTGCACAATTAAAAAAATAATTAATATTTTAAATTTTATAAAATTTATTATTTGATTTCCTATTATAATATCATTCATCTGCTATATTAATCAATATCGTACTTATTTATTATCTTCAATTAAACAAAAATTAATTAATAGAGCAAAATTATTTTTAAAAAATATTTATTCATTAATTTTATAAAATGATAATGATAAAAGAAAAATTATTATTAAACTTTCAAATAGAAAAAACAGGAGTATTTTTGTACTCTTAGAATGTAAAATTAATCTCCATTCAAATTTTTATACAAAACTTCGTTTTTTTTCCCTTAACCAAAGCTAATCTATTAACAATGATGATACGCATTTTTCTTTGTACTCATGGAATGATTGATTGATTGTGCACCTGTCAGTTAAAAAAGAATTTTTATTTGTTAGTTATTAAAAAATAATAAATTACTATTTGTGCGTTTATTAATAAAAATATCGATCAATTCAATCTTTTTCGGAGACTAAATTAATATAAAAATTAAATTAATGGATTTTTTTTCATCTATTGTAACTGTCAGTAGTAAATTGACTTAGATCAGGAGTAAAATAATTGGTAGCTGCAAATTCAAGGATTAAAACGACTTAGATAATAATGTTAAGGATATCAAATTCACCGACAATGCAAATTCAAGAATCAAATTAACTGTTAATTGTTATAGATTGAGATTTCTTTTTTCAATATTTTAAAAATTAAATAATTGTTGTAATTTCAAAGCCTAAATTTATGAACTACTCGACATTACATCCTCCCAAGAAATCATATAAATGGCTCTTAAAAATTTACATATATTCTCTATAGCATGCCCTGTCCCTAACCACCACCACCCCCCCCAAAAAAAAAAAAAAAACACTAAAGAGTAACAGAAAGTACTGACAAGAAGTTGCAGTGAAAGTAACAAAGATTTAATAGTTGGTAGGCAGGACTGGAATTTTCTCCCGTAACTGCGTCCCGTATTTTTTAGTTTTCTTAAGCAAAATGTGAAAAAAATTATTAACTGAAGAGTACAGTTCCCGCCAAAAGATGAGAAAATCCTGATTTGTTAAAGCCATCTTTAAGTTTACAATTTCTTTAATGGACCAAAACAACAGTTACAAAATTTTATGGGCAAAATGTTTACATCTAGCAACTTATCCCTGTTCGCCATGGATACTAGAAAGATTGCATGACGATAAGATGGACTTTCGAAGTTTCCGTTCATGGTCAAACGTAGCAGTTGATCACTAAATTTTAAGGACACAAGATATGTTCCAAAGAATTTATGTCTCTAATAAACATTTTAATTTATTTTAATAATTTTTTACATTACTTATTAAATTAAACTTCTTTTTAACCGTACATTCACAAGTTTTATGATCTAATTTATAATATAAACTTTTTATGCAATTAAAATTTATTAAATAAATACTTAACTTGTAATCCAAATGAATCCATAATAAAAAACGACCCAAAAATAAAGGCACAATAGAAGAGCCAGGCATTTCATGTGTAGTAAAAATGAAAATAAAAGAGAAAGAGTTCAAAGATACTATAAATTAATGTGAACTGCTGGGTGACTGGTAAATATAGCGTAATTTTAAGGGCTGCAGCAAAGTAAAACAAAAGTTAAATCATATTTATTATATTCGTCAACTTATGATCGCCGGAAAAAGAATATAACAGACAAAAATATAAGACCTGGTTACTTGCAAATGACAAGTAAATACTAACATTTATTGATGTGTGTAGTATATATATACGCATTGAAGGGTGTTAGTTAAATAAATGCTAAATAATGTGATTTCACAAAATGTTACAAACATAAATACGCACGCTTACTTGAGCACAGCTTTGTGCCAAGGATACCCACTTAACACTAAAACCACAGCTCATAATCTAAATGCAAGCCTACTTCCGCAAACTTAAGTTACACACACTCCCCTTTACCTCTATTTTTTTCCCTCTTCCCAATCCCAACCTCAGCCTGAAATCCCTTCTTGCAGCCAAAAAATTACAAAAAGGAAGACCAGAAAAACTAATTAAACAAATGGGACACATTAGATATGTCACTTTATTGGCCGGTAGTAGTTGGCTCCGCTATCCAATTCCACACTCTCACTTGACCAGTACCATCACCGGTGAAGAATATGCCATTAGGCCCCGTCTGAATTGCTCGTACCTCTTGTTTTGTGAATATCTTACCTCTCTCTGCAAATCTGATCAAGAAATGGGCCAAACAATGAATAATGAGTTCCCTTTTGTCAGGGATCACCGAAATAAAAAAGTCACACAACAAAAATAGTGTTGAGAAAACTGATCAATATTTGGTAAGAATATGGATTTTCTTTATCAGAAAATTATTACAAGCTCTCTCTTAATACAGGCAGGGAACGATGACAACGAACACAAAATACCCATCCTCCAAACTGGGAAAAAAATCCTAGAAAAAACTAAATATTATCTCCAGATGCCCTGCAGATTACAATGGAACAGGTCTCAATTTATGGGGGAGAAACTGCTCCTCACACTCAAAGGAGGAATGCTATTGATTGATAGGTTCCAAAAGGCCAAAAGAGGCTTTATTATTTCCATAATCTCTCAGTTCAAATCACATTTGGTGAACTTCTAATATCTTTCCCGGTCTTGCCAATCACAAGCTGCTTACATTTTTAAAAGGCAAGAACTACCAAGAGGATCTAAACCATATAAAATTATTATTGTTGATTAAATACACATCATATTTTAAGATAATAGTAGATAGAAACAACGCTCGTAAGGACTAAGGAATCCTATTGAAACCAAAAAATATTAGTCTGCCTACCATCCACACTAGAATAAATGAAGTTTTTCGGAAAAACCTGCTAGTGGAGGAAGACCTCCTAAGGATAAGAGACACAGGGCTAAAGAGACAGCTTAGAATAGGTTCTCTTTAGCGTGAATCTTCAGCATATCAACTTTTCCTTCTACTAGTCAAACTAAGTGACATCAAATTCTTGTCTATTGTCCATGAATGTGCAAAGCAATTCATGCATATGACTCTCTTGTTGTTTGTGCCTAAGTTCTTCCATTAGCATTTGAATTCAAATTGGTTCCTTGCATGCTCATATAGTTGCACATATACCATTCCTCGTGCAAATGTACAGACATAGCTGGTAGTAAAGTTTCTTTTATCAATATCACCCACACATAATCTGAATCAACATCTCTTCCTACAGTAAATTCGGTTCCACCAAAACAAAATTCAGCACCATAGTTTCCTATAATGTATCTTCCCATTAACAGCAATTCAAAGCTCTTCACCAGCTCTTCACCAATATATACCATAAACTAACTTATCTTAATTGCTTGAGAAATATCCAGACTCACAAATCATTGTGTATATAAGGCATTTTGTTTGTAATGCATATACTCGAGACATTTCCAGCATCTCTGTTTTAATAATACATATTTGAGGATAGTTTAAAATGATGGATTAGAAATTAGTTTACAATCCAGTATGTTGAAACACTACTAAATTTTCTTTATTTTTCAACATTGTTTTAGATAGTTCTTATCGTAGTAGTCAATCCCAAATAACAGCGCGGAGTGGCCAACTTAAAAAATGCTATAACGGGAATAGCGGTAGCGGGATGAATGCTATTCCGAAGTTTTAATACACACATATACATGCTGAAAAATATAAAATTAATACACAAATTTGGAACAAAAAAAAAAAAAAAAAAACTAAAAGGGTGAAGGAGCAACCATTGCTTTTACTTTAAGTTTTGAAATTTGAAACAAAACAAAGTAGGAAAATCAAAACAGAGAAGGAAACTAAACCCTAAACAAAAATATATATAAAAAAATGTTTAGAAGATGACCGGAAAGTATTTGGATGACGTCAGAAGTTTTATTGACCTTGAAAAAGACAACCAAAGATGAAGAGGATGACTCGAAACAATCTAGCTCACATCGAAGGCTTCATAAAAGATGAAGAAGATGACCGAAGAATGTCCCTTCCCTATTAGAAGCCTCTTCAGAGATAAAGGCCACACTCCAATGGTGGAAACGTAAAGAACAAAGATGAAATGAGAGCAGAGCTGACAGGCTAGGGCTCGCAAGAGGGAGGGAGAAGATTCAGAAAATAAGGGGGGGACAAAATCCCAAGATTGCCCCCCTCTAAAAACCCCAATGTTTAAAAACAAAGGAAAAATTCAGAATTTTAAGAGAGGAGAGCATAGCAGCCATGATTTCTGCCACCCCGACGCTACTAGGTCGCCGTAACGGGGCTGTGCTGCTTCGCTACACCACGATTACGGCCGCTATGGCTGCCATTGATAACTATAGTTCCTATGTTATAACCAAATCTTCCTATCTTTTCTATCTTAATGAATTTGCATTCCTAAATTCTTTGGATCTAAACACAAGTGATACCTATTAACACCATTAGCATAACCCAAAATTTGATTTCCTTAGATTTTGGATCTAGTTTTGTTCCTTCTTGGGAATTATACATCATATATGTAGAGCATCCAAACATAAGTAAGGAAGAACCATAGGCTAGCTTAACATTCCAGATCAATCAATTGTAGTTGACAGTGGCCAATTTATCACAAAATGTTCAGATTAGACCAAATATTAGGAGGGTCATGAGAGGAGCTATAGGCCAACTGTAGGGTATCACAATCTTTTAAGGGTCACTGTTAATTGTAAAACTAACTAACTAGCTAGAAGATAGTTAATTAGGTGTCAGATTATTTAGTTGCAAGAAGAATAAGTAAAGGATGACAGGGACTGAAGAGAGGATCCAGAATTGTAATTGGAAAACTTGGGAGTAAGCTTGGTCACTTGAATTACACACCAACCCTTAGATTCACTCTTGCTCTGTTTTGAGTCTGTTCCACTGTTGGTCAGATTTGGGATTGGCAATTAGGGTTCAGTGCAACAAAATCGTTCTTTCTTTTAATCTTGGTACCAGTTCCTATCAATGAGCTACAAGCCAAATTGTCTTGTGTATTTTAAGCTTGACCTCTCATGTGCAAGTCACACAGACACATGAATGCATGAAATGCACTGAATAAATTTCAAAAAAGACTGTAGAAGTTTGTAGTTGGTAACTAGGAATCAAATGAGAGCATGAAAATAAAAATCAATTACTTACGTTGGCAGATCATAGAGGCGCACAGTATTATCATTGCAAGAGCAGAGCAAAATGGGCTTGCCTTGTGAATCATGCATCCCACAAAGGGTAACTATACCCTGCAAGGTCACAACATATCAGAATCACCATGAAAGCCACCTCACACACTTAACTAATTCCCCCTAGCCACAATTTATGCACATGACTATTTTTGTTTTTCCAGATTATTCAATGAAAAGAATGGCTTTTATGAAAACAGAAGACAATATCAGTTGAAGATGGAAGGGAGGCAAATGTGTATACATGGAAACAAAAGATGTGTCAAATAGCTCATCAAATGGCGAAAAGAGTGAGGGAAAATCCCCAGTTGATTCCCAAACAACCACCAATTACTAAATAAACCAAATGCATGCCTTCTATCTAGTTTTCATTTATTTAATCAAATGGATTGGATGTTGATAGGCTTTTAAGAAGAACCCAAAAAGCAGATCAGACGCTCTATCCATCCAACTCCTGAGTGAAGCATAAAATTTCACTTTCAAGCATCATATTTTAATTATTTATACATTATGGAGCACTTATGTGACTCCAAATGCTGACAAAGATCCAGCTCCAAAACTACTTTCCCTTTGGTTACTTACTTCTGTTGTACTAAAATGCTGCAGAGTTTCCTAATCCATATTTCGCAACCTTATTAAATAGTTGAGTCATTTTGCTATCTCCATAATCTGGTTCCTTATTTCATATGCTTCATCCTTTTGGAGGATTTCTTATGCTCCCCTTGGCTTAATTCTCTCTTAGTAATAAATTCATTTTCCTAAAACAACAATAACAAGTCTTATCCCACTAGATGCGGTCAACTACATTTATCACTAACTCTTGTTTGAAAGTTAATTAAATATGAAGGGAAGGTGAAAGAGATTTTTCTAAACCTCCCAAAACCTTCCTAGCCTTTTTTTTTTTTTAGCTCTCCCATTTTGCGGGTGTTTAGGGAAATATTTATCACTTATATTTCTAGTTGTTAAATTAAATATTTAGCATGATCCAGAGTTAGAATAGCAAGAAAATAAAAATTATTATTTTTTCAAAAAAAATTTAGTTTTTAGAATGAGACTTTTTTAAAATATTAATTTTTAGAGAGAGAAAAATATTTAATTTTTGTATTTTCTGAAAAAAATAAAAAAGACAAAAAATATATAAATAAAAGATATATAATGTTATTAACATGTTAAAGTCTTTATTATACTTCCCTCTCAATATTGAACATCCAAAGCTCTCCCTTCTCCTCCCCTCCTAAGCCCTTTAAACTTTAAACTCTTTCCTTCTCTTCCCCGACAAACTCCCAAACAAAACCTTAATAATTTCCTCTGAAGTTCTTTTAGGTCTTTTTCTATCCCTTTTCACCAAACTAAAACTCATATCATTCACTTCTTACTGGTGCCTCCAACAATGTAAAATATTTAGAATAGCACGTATAACACAACAACAATCAAGCTTTTTCTCACTAGGTGAGATCGTTTACATGGACCACATAAGCCATTGAGCTCAGTCAAAAATCAAATTTTTAAAAATATTAAAAAAACATGCTATCTAGTTGCATGCCAAACTGAGAGATTTTCATGATCAGAAACTTGAGTAAGGTTCTTATATTTTCTTAAGCCATACACATATTGCAGGAATATGAGCTTAGTTCATAACAGTAGTCACAGAATCATTGATGGCAAAGCTAAAATGAATTGATTCCCTCTTATTACAACACATTTCAACCTGGATAAACAAAACCAAGTATTCAAGGGGGGAAAATTAAATAATTTCATACATACATTTTCTTCATTGTGAGTATATGTCACTTCCAAATTTCCACTTTCAGTAGCATACCATACCTGCAGAAATAAATTTAAAAACAGTCAAGCCTTTAATTACAGATCTCATGTATATTCAATACATATACTATAAGCAAATAGTGTGAAATCAACCTTCACTGTTTTGTCCAATGAACAAGAAAGAAGGAACTGGTCCCAGCAGAGAACAGACATCACAACAGACGTGTGATCAGTTAGTGTCTGTAAACACTGCAAGGTTTCAAGGTTCCAAACCTGAAAAAACAACAACCAGTTGGAAGAAATGTATCAAATTAACAAACTCAAAACTATTATAACATTGCTTAGAAAAAATATAAACGGAAATGAATCAAACGCTAAGGGCAGAGAGGTTATGAAAACTTACTCTAATTGTATTGTCCATTGAGCCAGAATAAAGTCTATTAGCTCCAACAACTAATGAAACAACACCACGTGAATGACCTTTAAGTGATGCTGCTGGCTCAAAGCAGTTGGTAACTACATTAAATTTCCATGCCAATATAGATCCATCCTGCAAGGGAATCATTCCATTTGGGATTAAAAATTAAGATGACATTCCTAACGTGTTTATGAGTTAAGAGTCCTTTTTTCCTTTAGATACAAAAATTAAAACAGGCTTGAAAGCATGTTCAGTTGAGTTCAACAAAAATATTTCTTAAGATCCTAAAAGCATAAACTTGTAAGAGTTTAGTTAAAAGGCTAACGCCAGTTGCCTTAGTTATTAATTTTTTGTGCTAACATCACCCAATCCTCTACATATCCAATGAGAGATTAAAGATATCACAGCCTCCTCTACAAAATCCGAATAACAAATGATGGCCTATGACCCAAGATACCCAGCAGGGATGTGGAACATCATACATATCCAGCTCGTCATTGCTTAATAACATTTTGTTACAACTCAAACCCAGCCAAGCATAAGATAAATCTTTTAGGCCAATCAAATGGCCTAAAAGGCTAACCTGAGTTTTTTTTTATTGGCTAGTCAGTGCTAATAAAGCATCATCCAATTTGTTACATGATCCGATATTGGCGCGCGGTTTCTGGATCAGTTTCTGGACTTGGGTTTTTGAGTCGGTATTTTGGGACTTAGGTTTCTGGGTCGGGTTTTTGCAACCCAGTTTTTAATTAGGGCATTTTTTTACCCCATATTAGAATTCTCTCCCGTGCGACAACACTCGATCCTCACGATGCTGGAGAAGATGACAAGAGCCACTTTAGCACCACAGAGAATGGATAACTCACGAGCCTTCTTCATCAATCGTTGCGCCTCTTCGAAAACATTACTTGACGAGTGCTTTTGACCTCGATTCGCTTTATCTCCACCTTCTTCTTGCCCATTCTTCTTCGCTCCAAAACCCTAGGTTCTTTTCTGGGAGAATTTCTCTTTTTCTTTCTCTCATTCTTGCTGTTCTGATACAGCTTAGCAGCAAAAATATCTTGTTCTTATAGGCTTCTTGGGTTCATTCACGAATTGACACATATTCAATCACCTACTGCTATCCCGACTAATTCATTGTCATTCCTTTTTTTAATAATATAATTTATTATACGCAACAAAAATCAAAGCTGAATCGCGTTGTTAAATTCAATTTTATTAAAACATAATTAACCAATCTTTATATTAATTTATTTTAATAGTTATTTTTTTTATAAAAAATTCTAACTAATTTCTAAAAATAATAAAATTTTGAAATATATGAATTTAATTAGTTTATTTTATAATTGAAAGTCTTTAAAATTATCTTAAAAAATATAATTGACTTTTACTGAAAATATATATTTCTAGAATCTAGGGTTTTTAAGTTATGTTTAATTAAATTACATGATTTAGATGTTAATTATTTTATATATATTATTTTTTATACATATATATATATATATATATATATATATATATATATATATGTGTGTGTGTGTGTGTGTATACGTATATGTATATGTATGTTTAATTATAATTTTACATGTTTGGTAGGATCTTACGATCTATTTTACGATTCCATGATTTACGATTTTTGACCCTCCTTCCAATCCTAAGTAAGATCCCAATCTTGACAACATTGATCACAATCACATAACTACTAAAAATCAAATCATCCTTGCTCTCCCACTTATTTCCCTTACATTCTCGTAGTTATATTTTCCAATAAATCTTGCACCTCCAAATCCATATCCATAATTTGGGCATAGGCAAGTAATCTTCAACGGTACTCCTTTATTGTCTGTATTTCTCTATATTGACATTCCTTATCAGCCCCAAAATTCAGCTCAATACATCATCTCTATATAATTTCTGGACAGTTAGTCCCCTAACAATATATGATGCCACTATGTAAAGCTTAATCCATATAAACAGAGATGAAAATGCACTTATCCATTTCATCCAACAAGCCCCACACACCAAAAAGATAATTTCCATTGAAACCAGAATTGCTAAATAAAGAAATAAAGCATGACTCTGAATAAAAAAACATAGTCAATGATGGAAAACTGAAAAGAAAATATTTACCTGTGTACCAGCAAAGAGCATATCATTAATCACAACAAGTGCATAAACTTGTCCAACAGGGCCATTTAGACTTAGCTCCATCGAATTTTGTGTGTTCCAGGCCTGCACCACCAAAGTCATCAACCAAGAGGATCAGTCACGATCTCATAAATGGCAAAAACAACATATCTCAGGAAAAATTTTAGCTAAATCAGTTATGTACTTTATTTAAATAATTTACCGAGTACAAAATGAGAGAAAACAAAAAGAAACACCTATTTGTGCTTTTGCTTACCTTAACAAAATTGGGTATCCCAACAAAAACCCAGGGGCCTTCACTGATCATACAACCTACTTCTCCACCTAGAGTGACCACAGCCATACACTGCAATGTAAGCATAGACAAACAAAATCAAGCTCAACAATTACCTTCTTTTCTACAAGCTCAATTATAAGTAAGAAAAAAATTAATAGAAAAAACAATGTCCATTGCTGACTTTGAAATTTAAAAGCAAAATAGATAGAAGGGAACAATGAAATCAATTAATTATAAAAAAAAATGATAGAAATAAATTCGTCTTACACTAAGGAAATTGAAACAAAAATTGTCACCAGAAAACGAAACATAAAACAAATAGTAACCACCTTTCCAGACTGGCAGTCCCAAAGCCTTACAGTCTCATCAGTACTTCCAGTATAAAGCTTATCCGAACCAGAGGGAAAGGCAATCCCACTCACAACCTGTTCATTCAACAAAACCAAAACTCATTCCATCAACTCCAATCACCCAAAAAACTGCACATTCACTCATAAACATCTCATCATAAACCCAGTACCACAACACAGTTATCCCTATACACAGCAACAAGAGATGTATCTTGTGAGAAAGCTTTTTTTTTTTGCACATGAGAATGAGAACAACAGATCTGGACTTAAAAATCATGCATAGATAATTAGGATTAAAAGCTTTTTGAAGTCTCAATAGTCGAGATTTTTTCTCACATTCTCACGTTAGAAAAATGTATTCTCATTTGATACATTCTCCACAGAAACATATCTCAAATCCACCCTTCAAAACATAATCAAAATAAAAAATACACACATCATAAATTTCGATGATAAATATGTTACTATGCATAGCTTTCACTGTCAAGCAGTGTCCATACTCCAAATTTATATTATATGGTAATATAATTATTTTCTAAAATCGTCTTTGGTTATTGTTACCTTCTGATGCCCTTCAAGCTGGGTCAATAAAGAAAAACCATCTCCAACACTCCAAGAGTGAAGGAACTTACACCTCTCTCCAAAACTACAATTCCCTTGAATCCAATAATTACAAACTTTATCAGCCTTTACAACCACTCCTCTGCCACCACCTGCTCCTCCGCCGCCGCCACGACCGCCGCCGCGGCCCCACGTGTTGAAATTTGGGCTCCGGCGTGGGCCCGAAAAGCCCGAATTCTCGTAAGGCCTCTTCGATGAGGTGCCGTTGGCGTGTGAAGAAGGCAACTCGCTATGGAGATAGGGACACGGGTAGCGATTGCACTTGCCCGCCTGCCAATGGAAGCAAACTTTCTGGTGCTTCGCGTCCGCACCGAGACGGTTGTACACGCGCTTGTTGCCCCCATCCACGTCCATGGATCGAACGTCCGAGAAAGAGTGTAATTGCTGTGTATGCGTTTGAATTGAGATAGGAAAAGGAAGGGAAGGACTTGAAACACTCTTTGAGTGTAATTTGAAGAGAAGAGATTGGAGAAAGTGGATCGAGGGTTCAGCAGAATCGGATTAGAAACCCTAATGAAACATGCGCGATGGAGAGAGAAAGTGCGAAGGCTTCATGCGAGCTGAGAGGAGGAGGAATGGTAAGGTGCAGTGTGATCATCAAGTGGAATTGAACTTCGTCGAAAACCCTAATTGATGAGATTAGGGTTCGGGTGATTGAGAAAGATGTGGGTGATGATGTGGTGTGGTAAAGTGTGTGTACTTCTGCGAGCGAAAGAAAGTTTCGAAACGACACGTAGTCTACGAGCATGTTGAATTACAAAACTACCCTGGATACGATGTCCGAGACTCTTTTTTATGGTTTTGCTAAGCATTTGATTAGTTACTGGAGTGGACTTGCCACGGGTTAGACTTAAAATTTCCTTTGATCATAATTTTATAATATGAGATAAATGGGATAAATTTAATTTTTTATATAATATATTAATTTTAACTATTATATATAATTAATTTACAAAAATAATAGAGTATAAAATTAAAATTGTAGAATATTTTATATGTATTTTAATATCAATATAAATGTATTATAATAAAAAAACATTATTCATTAAATTTTAAAGTTTTTTATTAATTTATAATTATCTTTTAAAAATATAAATTTAAAATAATAAAGAATATTGAGTGAGATTGAAATAACTCAAAATATAATTCAAATTAATTCTCAAATTATATTAAGTTTAATTTTTAAAATTTAAACATATCAAAACTAACATCACATTAGTTGTAAGAAGGTTCAAATTCTAAACAAGTTGAATTAAAAAAAATTGTATGAAAGTATGAATTATTTAATGAATAAATCCTAGCTTATCATAAAGATTTGCAAGTTATATCTATAGACAAAATTTCATTTTACTCCCTATATGCATATTATGTGCTACTTAAATCATAATTTTTGAAAATGTGCACTATAGTGTCTTATACGTGTAAAAAAAGTCATTTTACAACTTAGACATTGTATTTTATTTATAACATTTTACATGCATATTTTCTTAAACAAAAATACATTTGAATATGTAATTTTTCATCTTTTGACTTTCTTCATTTTGTTCATGTCTAACTCATAATTTATATGTTTTTTTCCACATTATGCATGAAGAATGTGAATACTCAATTTTATCTAGGTCCTATCTAAAAAATTAAATAAATAAATACATAAATAATAAAAATTAGATAAGATTTTAAATTTTAGATCTATAAGAGGTTAGGATTTTAAATTTTAATTTTTAATTAAATTCTAAAATATGTAGACATTTAGGTTAGTAAAAAAAAAAATTTTAGGTAGATTTTAAGTGAAGTGGATGAGATATTTAAGGAAAATATGAGAGGTGGCCGTCGGAAAAATAGGAAGGTAGAACCTTTTTTTAAAAAATAAAAAATAAATTAATTAAATAGAATATAGGGTTAGGAGGTATTACTAAAAATAGGAAGCTTAGGTCTTTAGAGCCTGTACTTTTCACACTTTATCTTTTACGGGAAATCAGTAGAGAGAATCAAACTCTCTTGGAGAGCACGGGAAATGAGAGAGAAAAAGAAAAAGGGAGAATTGAAAGAATTTGAGAGATAAAAAAAGAAACGAAAATTCAAGGGAGCACAATGAGAAGATTGCAAATAATCAACATTTCAAAAGAGTCAACATCCTGAGAGCATGTAAAAACATATCTTGAGATCAATGAAAGAAAATAAGGCTAGAGGGTTGAAGAAGAGATCTCACCGTGAATCCTAAACAGTCACAAGTAGACATTTTTTCTTCTTTTTCTTTCCTTTTTTCTTTTTTTGTTGTCGTTGTTGTGTGCTCCTCTCTTATCCCCTACTTATTCATACAAGATTTAATATTTTTTTAAACCCAAAAATTGTCCCGTCTTACAAATCAAACCTTTCTAACCCCCCAAAAATCCTTTTTTAAAACCCTAAAACATTTCGTACCTAAAATGTCCATTTTGCAAACCCTAAAACATCTTCTTTCTAACCTTAAAATATCCTTTTTTGCAAACTCTAAACATTTGTTTTCTAACCTTAAATAAATCTTTTTTCTTTTAAACCCTAAAACATTTTCCACCCTAAAATGTCAATTTTGTAAACCCTAAATCATTTTTTTTCTTCTAACCTTAAAACATCCTTTTTGTAAACCCTAAAATATTTTCTACCAAAAAGTGTCTTTTTTCCAAACCTTAAAAATAATTTTTAAAAGCCCAAGTATTCTTTTTTTACAGACTCTAAAATGTAATTTCTTTTTCAACTCTAATAATTTTGCAAATCCTAAAAGTTTTTTTTCATAAATCTTAAAATTTCCAATTTCTTTGCAAATTCCAAAAAAAATAAACTAATTCCTAAATCAAATAAGAATTATTTTCTTGTTATTTTTCTTTGCACTTGTGTTTGTTTTTTATTGTTCTATATATTTCTCATTTATTTCCTTATTGTACACAAAAAAAATTTCAATATTAATAGGACATTTTGGTTATCTAAAAAAAGTCTTTTAAATCCATGCAACGACCAAGTAATATTGATAAAGTGATGAATCCACCTTCAACATCACTCGCTTGGATCGTAAGGGTTTATTGAATAGTCGTATACTAACTTGAACCATGTGCAAAAGTGAATTTAAAAAAAATAATAACAAAGTAAAAATCAAGCTTTAAAAAAAATTCGAAACTCATCAAAACCTAATTTTCAAAAGAACTACGTAGCAGCTTTGATCATCCCATTGCATAAAGGAGATACGTAGAAGCGGCAACTTGACCCGTCAAGTCTGAATTTTTTTTTCAGATTTAAATTATTTTAAGAAAAATTTTAAACTACGAGTAATTCAAAATAATTCTAAAAAAGAAAACAAAAATTTTATGCTTTAAAAAAAATCAAGTTAAATTTTATTTAAATACAAAAAAAGAGAATAATATTTTATAAATATTCTATTTTTCTAAGTCAAATTAAATTTTTTAGTTCTTTATTTAAAAATAACAATATAAAAAATGAACTTTCATAAAAAACTTAACATAAGAAAATCAAGTTAGATTTTATTTGAATTTATTTAATACGAAAATAAAAAAATGAATAATATTTTATAAATAATCCATTTTCCTAATTAAAATTAATTTTTTTTAATTCTTTATTTAAAAATAAAAAACATAAAAAATGAATTTTTTACTTAAAAAAGGAAAAAACAATTTAAATTTTGTTTAAATTTATTTAATTCAAAAATGAAAAAAAAGAGAATAATATTTTGTAAATAATCTATTTTTCCAATTAAAACTAAATTTTTAGTTCTTTACTTAAAAAATATTAAAAAATGAATTTTTACTTAAAAAATAAAAAAATCAAGTTAAATTTTATTCAAATTTATTTAATATGATAATAAAAAAATAAAATTTTATAAATAATCCACTTTCCCAATTCAAATTAGATTTTTAACTCTTTATTTGAAAATAGAAAATATAAAAAAAATGAATTCTTACTTTAAGAAAAATAAAAAATCATGTCATATTTTATTTAAATTTATTTAATACAAAAATAAAAGAAAAAATAGCATTTTTTATATAATTCATTCCTTTAATTCAAAACTTTTAATTGTATTTCTTTATAAAAAATATAAAATTAAAACCTAAAAAAAACATTGTAGGAATGAGAAATAAGACTAAAAAATAATGACAAATCAAAAAATAATAAAAAAGAAACATCAATAGTCTTCTTTTAGAGTGAAATAAATATTTTTAAAGTTAAAATGATTCTTGCACAATTAATTAGAAAGTAATCGTTCTAATCAATGGACGTCGTAGGATGCTAATACCTTCCCTACGCGTAAACGACTCCCGAGTTGAAATTTTGGTTTCGAAGATTACTTCTATTAAAAGTTTTTCCAATCTTTTTTTTAATAAACTTTAATGGCGACTCTCTGTCATCGTTATCCCGTCGTGTCCCTGGTTGCAACAGATGACAACTCCACTGGGGACTTCTTTGAGAGTCAAGCTTAATCAAACTAATTGTGCAATATTTTTAACTCTTTTATATATCTGTTTCACTCATCATCTTGTTTGTATATTCCTTTTATTTCATTTATCGTCTAGTGTATTTTGTAAATACCTTTCATTCTCCTCATATATTGTGAAACTTAGGATAGATGACCCTTGTGCCCTTTATTATTTGTTTGTTGATGTTCGATGTTTAGTAGGGTAAAGGTTTGTATGCTCCTCCCACACACATCACTAACACTCACCTCACACACATTTGGGCTTTATACTCGAGCGTGTGCAAGCCTAGAAATAGAAGATGTCTTGACCGCTGCTATTGAGAGGCCTGATGCCCACTTGGCAGTCGTACGGGTATCACTCAAGTTGTTACTAGCATCATAGCTTAGTCATATTGAGAGGGCATGTCCGTACTTGTGGCTAGGTTATGAGCTGGGTCCTTATTATTTGATAGGGGCAATCTAGGGGCCACAATAGACTTATGAATTTAGATCCACCTCAAAATCATGCACTAATTAATGACCATAGTGACCATCTCACTATATGATTTTGCCCAAAATAAGGACACATGAGGAGCTCACTCTTCTTTCCTCTTCATGCATCCTAGCCTTAGTAACATGACATGCATACTATGAGCATACAATTTTCTTTCATTTGCATCTAAAAATAATATAAAGCATTGATGAAAAAATATATATTTATTTTGTGAAAATCAAGGTAATTGCATTTAGCCTGCATTAGTAGGACATCTCCTAAGTATAATGGGTTACATTTCATCTCATTATTTGCAATCATCCGAATTATCGTACATTCATTAAGTTTACATGTCAAACATTAATTTTATTTTATTATATTTTCCTTTTTCATTATGCTTATTTTTTTTGTATAAAAAAATTTAAAGGATTTAATAACATTAAAAAATGAGAGAGGTTCAAGGTCACACTAGCAATGCATCAGGACCAATGAGAAGTATCAAAATTATTGTGCTGAACAATCACCTTCAAAGAGTGAATAAGATTCACCAATATATGCCTAAAGAAGCACATTCAAGCTTTGAAAGGAAATACGGTTGAATCCTCAATTTGCTTTTTATCTCAGTAGAAATACCGATGTTGAGTGCTCTAGCCCAATTCTGGAATTCAAAACTCAGGTGCTTGAAATTACGCAGCTTGGATCTTATGCCTACCATAGGAGAATATGAAATGATGGTTAGACTACCAATCAAGGAAGACAACAAGG